TTGATGAAAAACACCAAGAAACCGCACTCTCAAGCAATTGTTCATGAGACCCAACTGTAGCTTCTTGAGGCCTGCTGCGTGTACAGCAGCTACAACAATGCCATCTGGCACCTGATGGCATCATCCTCTCATCCTTGACAGAAAGATGAGTGAAAGAGGTTCATGTTCTGGCTCAAGGACAACCACACCAGCTCTAATCAATGGAAACACTTTGGCTGGTGCAGAGGTCAGCTGTGTTATCTTTGGGTTGTGAGAAATCCATACTAACCATGCACTTTGCTACCTCCAAAACAATAAATACTATCCTGAAGGACTGTTATGCTGCAATCATGAACTTCCTTTTAATACAATCAGCCTAATACTGTGTACACAGAGGTCACTGTGGCTCTTGGCTGGTACTTGTGTCGCTCTGCAGCTCATTGGGCATCTTCTGTGAATCTGTTTGCTTAAGTAGTTCTATTGTCAGGAAGAGCACAAATGTGTCGACCATTCAGTGAAAAACTTGTGTAAAACGAGTGAAAACTGTGGTCGTGAGAACAAGTTAGAGATCACTCTTTAGACAAATTCAGCAGCCTCCCCACTCTAGGTGTGATGTCACCACTATAGCCTCTGAATGTTTCTCTTCATAGAGACCAGTGTACAGTATTTCTCACTTTCACCTCTTTTAACAAATGTCCAGACAAAATGGACAAAGGATGAATAAAATTTAAAGGTTTAATCTGCAGTAGTTCAACCTCATCATCGGTGAGCTCCAGGCGTCCATGACCCTGTTGATGTTTATCCTTCCTTAGACACTGTTGGTAGGTACTGACCACTGCAGACAGGAACACCCAACAAGACCTGCAGGCTGGGAGAAGCTCTGACCCAGTCGTCACAGTGTGGTCCTTGTCTAAGTCAGATTCTTACGCTGGCCTGTTTTTCCTGCTTCCAACACATCAACTTCAAGGACTGACTGTTCACTTGCTGCCTAATATACCCCACACACTGACAGTTGCCACTGTAACAGATAGTCAATGTGCTGATCGGTGTATATTTAGAACAATGGCCTTACTTTGTTACACTAGCCATTAAGCTGGTTTTGTATTGTAACTGTCTGCCCTTGCTGTCATCAGAAGCTGTATGTTTGCTTCATTGATTCCATTATCACATGAATGGGCGTTGGCCAGCACCTGCACACCACACTCAGCGCATACACACACATGCACCTGAGCCTGGCACGGCCACAATGGGCACGCCGCAGGTACCGGGGGGTTCCTACCACCTGGCAGACTGGCTACATCCACACAGCAGATGGCCCAAATCAACCCCCCGGTGGAGGGCACAGCTGAGGAATCCTAGCTCATGTTTGTGTGGAAATGTGTGCGCAGTGTCAAAAACAAGCACTCAAAGTAGCTATTGGCTTATTGACTGGGATCCTCTTTTGTCCGCTGTGCTCAAACCACCTTTTGAAAGTGTGTTATGTGTGTGTGAATGCCTTTTCATTGTCAGTAGTGCATTTAAGAGCAGAAGTGGCCAAGAGAACAGCACGGATCAACAGAGTTTTACTTGAATGTCCATCTGCTAACTGCTTTACTGCACAGAGGTGGTTTAGTTAAGGGGGTTTTCTTTAGATGAGAAGAGATAAAAAGGAGAGTGAAATATGCTACAGTATGTAAAGCTGGAGAGCTCACAGATGAACGGAGTCGTACGGTGACCAGTGACAGGCCGAGCCAAGCAGGCACAGATAATAAAGCAGTCAAAGGGAATGGAGGCTTTTAATCCTAAATATTAAGTGCAGCGGATGGCCAGTCTGCCACGGTGTCCTTGACCATACCGTATCCAGATGACCGCTGGAATTAGTTCATCACACCGGTGGACATCACCTCCTCCTCCCCTCTCCTCTTCTTGCCTTTCTACCTTCCTTTCCATGCATCTCCCATCAAACCAGCACTCATTAGTAAAAGCTTCACCCGTGTGTGTGTGTGCATGTGTGTGTGGCCAACCAGAGCACAGAGGGACTTCATTAGTGCATTAAACATGTTGTTTATGCCACTTTCTTGTTGCTCTGGACAACCTTGAGCATTATGATTGGCTAAAAATAGTCTTGAGTGTAGATAAGCTATCCAAGCGCTTTAAGTTCAGACAAATGACAAATGAAAAGGTGTTTTCACATAAAACAATGTTACTAAAGTGGAAACATCTTCCCGCTCTAATAAAGACTGATTTGTCACACTGGATGTTAATCAATGCTGCAATCATTTCTTTCTTTCTTTTTTTAATTTTTTTTATTCGGTGAGTCCTTCCTTGTCTTTTCTCTTTAAGTGCATCTGAAAAATGCACTAGAAGTACATCCATGCAACTGGTACTCTCACTGTTTCTACTCCTCCCACCCTAAAGCGCAGCTCTACAGACAGCATTCAACACTAGTGCGCTCCAGAGGAAAGTATAGGAACAGAAACATTACTTCTCGGTCTGCATGCTCTCCCACCAAACTGTCAAAGACTAAACACACTCTTCTTATTTTACTGATACAAGCTCGGAAATAAAAATGTCACAAAGTTAGTGACCCACTAAAACACACTGAGCATGAGAGGATGAATGACTGCCCGGTCAGAAAGGAAGAATCTGTTATCAAATGCTAATAATATTGTTGTGCTTATTTTCCCCATCACTTTGCCTTTTTCTTCCATTTCCTCCTTATTGTCAATATTGAGCTCCTCAGCAAATGTCAAGTTTTAACTACTGTTCCTTCTACACATAACGAATCTTTTCCAGGACCTGGTTTCTTCTTGTTGTGTCTGAAACACAAGGCAGCCAGAAGAACTGCAGTCTCTTTGGCTCAGCTGTTGCACACACCCGCACGCACAAAAACAACATATCTGAACAACCTACTGTGGCGTTGCTTTCCCAGGTGATGCTCCACGTGTATTTCAACCTGGCGCATGACGGTGCAAAAGAAAAGACGTGCAAGAATACCTAAATAAATAAAGGGCCAGCCTAAGTGAATGGGTGTCACTTTGACAAATGCACAGCGCTGAATCTTAGTCAACACTGTATTGTTTGTCTTTCGCTCCCTCATAAACACAAACGTGCACACAAATCCATGCCATCACAAGTGCACACGCATTATTATGCGTACTGTGAGTGACAAACACACAAACCCGGCGTGCATATACAAACATGCATTAAAAGCACACAAACACACAAGCTGATTATACATTCATAATATTGAATGGATGACAGGTCTTGAGCAGTGAGGAGGGAAACAGGGTGAATTCTAATGAGCAACTATTTACCCTGAGAGCTCCGTCCTGCGTAGACTGGATACACACAGTGACGTGACAGAGTAACAAATACTCAGGCTGAACACCAGCATGGTAACCTCAACAGAATAATAATCATGGCATATCTATACATCTAACAAACACAAAGAGGAAAGTTACAAACTAATTAGCCATATCAACTACAGATTTTTGTCTGTCTGTTACATGGATGTACACTTAACAACGTTCCACCCAGGACTGCATCTTCCCTCATTCCTCCATGTAAGGGTAGAGACACACCAAGCCAATGTGAAAGAACTAGCAGCAACGAAGGCTGACTATTGTGTTGTCTCATGTCGTCTTTGTCTGGGCCAGTCGAGTTGAAAAAGTGACACTTGAACACACCACACAGGCTACAGCCAGCGGTCGACTAGCATGTGCATTCTGTGCCTGAGTGAAAGAAATAACTCCCCCTACCAGCAGGTGGCGGTATCTGTAGTCACCATTCAGAAAGGGAAAGAAGAACTACAATTTATAAACAAAGCAGCACTCATTCAACACAGCTGTTGTTTACAGCTGATTCTAATCGAGAATATGTCTGATAAGGAGTTGAAAAAAGGAGGCTGCGACGGACAAAGATGAGAAGAATCCACTCTAAATGTGTGAAATCATGGATACTACAGCAACAGAATGAAGGGGCTTTCCCCAACCATTCTGTTCTCATGCATTGATTTGCTAAGCTTGTCAGCCAATCAGAGAGCTCTCTCTCACCAACAATGCCCCAACAGGTCAATGCCGATTTAACATATCGAACCAGCTGTAAAGCCAACTGCAGGGTTCAGCTAGTGCCAATGGTGTGAAACACACTGGGAAGATGAGCCTCAACAGACTCACCAATGGTGGCCAACTATCAATTCGGTGTGTCACAGGCCTAAGAGTTAAGATTAACTCCATTACTGGTCCAACCTGGGACCTGATGTTGTCACTGACCCCATAACTCCTGATATGCTGATGTAAAAACTTCTATATAATTCTCAAAGAGACAACTTAAATCAAGCAATTTAACTCAAAGTCAAACTCACAGGAAGTTAAAACTTCAATACATCCATCCATCATCACTTTAACTCTCTGTCCTCCCATCTATCAATCCACCTAAATTAGTAAATGCTGCACAGCTGACCAGAGCAGAAAACCCGTTCACCAGTCATGGATGTTGGACTGATTAAAGCAAGCTCTTAAAATGAGAGGTGGGGCTGTGTGCGGCGTTGGGAAGCAGCAGTAAAAATCTCATGTCGGACGTGACAAACATGACAATCAATGAGGGAGTAGCTGCTGACTCGCTTTTAATTGCTTGTTAAACGAGCAGGTTTTAAAGAGGCGCTGTTGCTGTCCTGTTGGAAATGATGGGGAGCATTTGTGTTGACTGCATTTAAACTTCAAAGTGTCTGTAAAGTGCTTGGTGTACTATAAATGAACAGCTATTAAGCTGCAAGCACCCATATTCACAAAGAGATGACATTGCCAACCACAACCACTGGAAAAGCTGCTGACAAGCCAGAGCAGAAAAAAAACTAAATCAAGTTACATCCTTGTTCCTACATTAAATAACAAGCACCAAAAAGCCCATTTGTTCCACAATTTAGAAATAACTTGCATGAAATTTCTCCATAATAACAATGCTCCAAATCAACCAAAACAAAAAATAACCAGCATTTCATTCAATTTATATGGAAAAGAAAAAACAAAAGGCATTCATACCTTCTTCAGTTTGGCATTCCGCGTGCCAACAAACGCCACAGTGTTGCCACGGTAATCGTAAGCCGCCACAGAGGTCATGCCGTCGTCTTTGTCGATGAAGAGGGGGGTGCCCTCGATGGTGCTGGTCCCCCCCAGGGGCTGGTTGAAGTCCTGGCCACAGAAGTTATCATCTATCTGTAGTGGCTGGAAGAGCGAAGAAAGGAAATGTTAAAAAATGCTCATAATTTAACTTTCATTCTGAAGATGTCATGTCATAGTGTTAATTTTGTTCCTTAACAATAAAGCAGAAGAAAGGCAAAGAGTAAAAAAAGCTATTTGAAAACACTAAATGATTAACAGTTTAAAAGAGGCAAATAAAAGTCCACTTGTTACTCATTTCCATATCGCAGTGGGAGTGCAGAGTGTCATCCAACGTTCATGCTATTACCTGATTATTCACTGTGTTAGGTTGGCTGTTCATTTAAAAATGCAGACTCCAGTCTCCCAAACAGATGTGAAACCTTTAGCATATTGTAAAGTAGCATTACCCCCATGTCACAGCTGCGACATGGGGGTAACGTGACAATATCTGAAGCATTCCAGAGTCATGAGGGGTCCATCACCCCAGGCACTCCACCGACCCGTATGATGCCTGAACCAGTCACCATACACACAGCACACATTTGCCTATGAAGGAGTGTTTAAGTGTCACATACAATGAATGGATGTTAAACTAGCACAATTTGTACACAGTGTGGTTTGGCTGATGCTGAAAGTGAGGTGAGTAGGTTATAATAAATTCAATGACTCACATGAAGAATTTTGATAATTAAGTCACAAAAATGCCAAATATGAACTTTTTCCAGCTTCTCATGTGTGAAAGTTTCCTATTTTCTCTGTTTTATATCGCTATAACATCTTTGAGTTTTTTTTAACACTCTGACAAAAGAAGCTAACAATTTATCAATTAAAAACAATCACTGCCATAGTAGATACAAAGTAAAAGCTACTTTGGTTTGATAATAAAATGTTTGTGTGCTTTAAAAAGTACTTTTTTGATGTTGCTATGGGAGCTTTGTGTGTGTGTGTGTGTGTGTGTGTGTGTGTGTGTGTGTCAGGTGTGAGGTTGCTAACGGAACTAACTAAAGCCTGGAACTGAACGGGTGTCAGTGTGTGTTATCCAGAGTTAAAAGACGTGTGAATCCACAGACACACACACACCTGGGGAGTGTGTAAATGATGGTGTAATCCACAGTCTTATCACTACATCACTGCATCATCTGATTGATCCACACAGGAGAAAAAGATACCCCCCCGACACACTCTCTCCCTCCCAATCTGCCTAAATGCCTGCAGCTCAGCACGTCAATACCCTGTTTTTCTGGATTTTTCTACTTTCTCTTTATCTCTGTCTCCTCTTAGCTGCTACAGTAGCTGCAAACATCAATGTCCCATCCCTGTCTTTCTTTCCTTCTGTCTCTCCATCCCTTCTGATCCAATCGCTCTGCATCTCCCCCTTTATCCATCCATGCTTGGCAGCTCTCCCTCTGCCTCTGCAGGTACATTCCAAGTCTCTTATATGGGTCCATATTTCTCTCACTTATGCCTTTTGCTTGCGTCTTACTTCCACCCACATAAGATGCGAGAAAAGAGGAATCGAGGAAAGATGTTATTAGAACATGAGACGCCCTTCCTTTTGATCCTTCATCTGAATTGTCCAGTCACCATCCGATTTCCGATAAAGAGGCGTGTCTGTCCATCAAAGACTTTCACAAAGGATGCTCACATGGATCCATACTCACGTCTCCTCCAGGCAGCTCCTCAGAGCAGACAGAGTCTTGGGACATGTTCAATCCTTGCTCGACCGGAACGACTTCGGGGTTGAGTGAAGATCGACCATATAAGAGATTCGGGATGTACCCCCATCTCTCACATTGTCTCTACTCTTTCCTTCTGTGCCTCACACGCCTCTGTAACGTGAACCGCTTTAGAGTGTAGAGACCTTGGCTATTAACAAAGTCAAGTCACCACATAGAGCTCGCTCTCTCTTGCTCCCTGTTTCTCAGTCTCTGTGCAGTAATGTCACACGGTACAAAGTAAAGGAAAAAAGTGACGATTTTAATGGAAGCTTGTGTATGTTTGGGTGTGTGTATGACTGTGTGTTTAAGAAAGCGAGAGACAGGAACACACACAGTCATTACTGAAACAACTTTCTTTTGTATCCATTAATGGCTAGGGGGCAATTTTTTCCCTCAGAACAAAGGCGACTGACAGACAACACTGACAAACACACGCGTACGTGGACTTGTAAACCAGTACACACAGGCACACAGCAACACACATAATCAACCAAAGCATCTTGTTTATTTCCCGTGTGTACACACAAATTTGGTAACGAGCAACAAAACAATTTCCATTGTCTTCATAGGACATATATCTAGGGGCAACAATTTTAAATCATATAGTCATGAAAAAAAAGAAATTCATCAATCTGGATTAGAGTCAACCACACACACACACACACACACGCGCACACACACACACACACACACAAAGTAGCCCCATGGCATCAGAGCCAAAGGGAAACAAGCTAAAAGGGTCTATCTTCAGTGGAGAGGACTAACAAAAAATACTGTATACAGGAGCCCCTAGAGTCTGCAAGGGTTAGCACACACCACTACATGCACACGCACACGCACACGCACACACACACACAGAAGCCTGTTTGTGTCTCTCTGGGGCACTCGAGGGTAAAGGTGCTATAACACTCCTGAAGGCCTGGAAGGTTTAAACAGCATAAATCAGCATGGAATAAAAGGCGCATCCCTTGTGGATGGAAAGCATTTTAATGGGGGTTTCGTTCTGATGCTGCTTCTGCAGTTTAAGCCACTGAAAGATTCCCATGTGAGTTAGAGCCTATATTCAATATGGAAGGAATAGTCCCTTCTGTGTACAGTTATTGGCTGGAGATGGTATTTAACTTTCTGCAGTGTTTCCAAAGATGCAAAACGCCTCCTGGGATTAAAGAGTTAAGACAACAACCTTCCACTGACTTTGGCAGCAGGGTGTTTCATATGCAGAGGAGGCTTCTTGTTTTGGTTTTCACAGGGTGGACGCAGTGCACACTGGCTGAATTTGAAGCTCACAGGCGCTTGGCCTTCTCTCAAGACCTCCTCCCAAAAGTGTGTGTGTGTGTGTGTGTTTGTGCGTGTGTGTGTCCTGCTTCTGCAAGAAATACTGAAACTGATAACAGGAGATAATTTTTTTTTGTATTGACATCACTTCTAATCTAGTGTCACACAAAGAAGTAGGTTGTTTATCAAACACATAAGGGTAAATTGCATTTTTTCCCCAATTACTTCTACAGTGTCAGATGTTTAAGAAGTGACTTCAACAAGTAACCAATTACCAAAATAGTCAATTTGTTTCTACCAACTGATTGATTGTTAAGTTCTATTGCAGATAAAGAACCACATAAATCTTTCAAAGCTGTGATTTCTAATATGTCGTGAATATTGAAAGTGAGAGGGGCATTACACTTATGGTGTCGACTGATACTCAAGGTTGCAAAGAAAATAATGTGACCTAACTACAGCTGATCCAATATATGAGGATTGCACACAAAGATAAACATGCATACGTATATAAAATCCAGTGGTCACGTGTGTTGTTGGCAGACAGCCATGACTGGGCTGGTTTCTTCTGTGTGGAGCTGCTTTATTCACTTCACACAGCAAAATTATGAAATACAGGCATTTACATTGCCCCAGACACGAGTGTACACACAACTCAGCCCACAGCAACACTGACTGATTACAGAAGTGCGCTGGCTGGACCACACTGAAGAAAATGCCGGAATAATCATTCCCCTATGATTACCATTTCTTTAAATGATTATATCCCAGCACGACCTCAAGTGGAAGTCATCACTAGGCACCTCCATTCAGCAAAACATATGGAAACAGCAGGACCCAATATGGGCCTATGTAGGGGAACATGCATGGTGTCCATGACTGGATACGTGGCTGTGAATTACCGCTATAAGGGTAGATGGCAACCACCTAAACACTCTGCTGCCCACTTCATTTGCATATAGCTAAATGAAGTGGGCAGCACCTTGAATTAACAGGTTTCAGAATAAATATGTTTTTAAAGCAAAAAAACAGCTGCAATTCATCTGTTTGTCTAAGTGTATGTGTGCGTCAGACAGCAGAACAAAGAAAGAAAGAATGGAAAAAGACACTTCTCTTCTCACTAGTAATCAGCTGTCTCCACAGCTAGCTAAAAAGCAAACAAACACGCAATTTTGGTGAAAACAGCCCTTTCCTGCTATGTCAAAAATGCATCTGAGTGAGGTGTCACTGTTAATGCAGACATGGAAGGCATGTGCACAAATGATTTATACCAGCAAGAGTCGGTGTGTGTGTGTGTGTGTGTGTGTGTGTACGCGCTATGAAACGGGCAGCAGGGAAGAGAAACAAACTATTTGGCATCAGACACAGGAACTGCTCCTCTGCAGCCTTCCACCTTTTTTTTTCATATCACATGATAAAGGTTCCCACAGTTATACATGCACTACTAGGACCATTTTGGCAGGAGTATATAGGTCTCTCTCTCGTATACTAATAACTAGCCTGCAGCAAAGGGGGAAAAGCATATGACAGCCACACACATCCTACCGAAACTGACAGCACGTTAACGTGAATTACACCTTTCGTGATGCGTGCTTACTCAGACCGTTCTTTCACACTAGGACTCTATAAGTGTGACTCACAAATGGCAGCTAACACAAAACCCGCAATAAATAAATGTTTAACTTTTTCAATTTAACACTATAATAACCCTGCTGGGTCCTTATTTATCTGATGAACGGTGAAACAAAATTATATCATTTAAATTAACACAACAAAACACTAAGTTGATATCTGCCAGAACGTGGATGCAAGCAATGACCCGGGCTTCCACTTCAACAGATGATGCCCATGCAAACACAAATACTGACTCATATGCAGATTATAAAAAGGTGCTCTGGTTATTGTGACTTTTACTTTTCTGTAAAGACTATTTTAGGGATGTTGTTGCACCACAATAAAAAATTAACGTATGTATTTATGTTTCAGTTAAAGGAATTATTCATTTAATTAAGGTAATTCAGCCACGACTCAGTCTCTTATCGTACGGTCACCCAAAAGAGTTTGAACTTT